TTGATGATAACTATATTCCTCACCAAATTATACCACATAATCCTAATGTTGCTTTATCTCCTAATGTTCCAAACACAAACATACTTGCCCCTCCTTCTCCTAGACGCTTAACTCGTTTGTATCAACCACCAAGTTACCTTTGATATTTCCACTGCAGCCTATCTGTTGCCAAAGCTACCAATCCGTGTTTAGGTATGACAACTTCCCATAATCCTCCTCGTTATCCATTATCAGATGTACTCACCTATGATATCTGTTTTCCATAATATACTACTTTATGTTTAAATGCTAGCTTTCTTGAAGAACCCAAGTCATATAAACAAGTAGTTCAATCAGAAGAATGATAGAAAGCTATGAATCTTGAATTACAAGCCCTTGTTATGAATCTTTGTACTAACTTTTGTATCATAATATTTTCTAATTCAATGAAAGTTCAGTTTCACAATACACCTCCTTGTTATGGTTTGCATTAGTTACTTAAGTTCACCTCTTGTGCTTTCCTCGTCCTCTGATCAATTTGACCTTGCTGCAAATGCTTCTCATGGAACCTTTTCAAAGGATCTTGTTGTTTTTGCTCAATTTTGAAATTTATTTTTGTCCAAATCATTATCGGATTCACTATTGGATTGATGTTGCTTGATGGGCTTCAAACCCAATTCCAAATGAATACCCTTCCCATGAAATTAATTTTGTTCTCAAGATTGAATGAGAAATATTGTCATTTCTGTAAATATTTGAAGTTTCAATTGAGTGGGTTGAAAATTTATTAAGGATCCATTATATTCCTTATCACTTTAATTTTTATGTCCTTATTATCTTTTTTCACAATTAGATAATTCTCAAATTTACTACTCCAACATATAATTATACTTGCGAGTCTCACATATTTTTAGGTCATTAATGTCATCAATTTTCTCTTTCTTCTAACCACGATGAAATTAGAAAAAACTATTATACTCTTCACCCTACACCAAGGTTTTCTCTCTCTCTCTTTTTTCCTCTCCCCCACTTTTTAAGAATTATTTGAGTTATGCTCATTAACCGTTGGTGGTTCATAAATGTATCCCACGGAGGGTAAAATATATCAATATAGGGGTGTTCATAGTAGCAATAGTGAAGACCAAAGCGCTATTGAAGCTTCCCACGATGCTATACATCAAAGGGGAAGTGTGTGTGAATGGCTAAGGTGACTCCACATTTGTGCAGAGTGACAACTCTTGAGTTGAATGGAGAAGAAGATGCCCTTCTATAGGAGAATAGAGTATTTAGAGTGGTGAAGTCCCTCTCAAGCGTGACAGAGAGAAAGTGGAAAATTGTCACCTAGTTAGCCCAGCCTTTGAGGCTAAGCATGCTGAATTCACTGACAGTGTATAGAGACAGCAGTGCAGGTGTAACATCCTCGTCTCGAGCCGGTTCAATTAACATACATATGATACAAACAGAAACAGCAAAAGACTTAACTTACGAAAATACAAGTTAACTTTTTTTTTTTTTCATTAATCTTAATTCACATGACATATCACATTGCATACTTCTTCTAATTTAATTCTTATTGGACGGAGACGAAAATCGGACAGAGTAACCTCTGTAAATCGGACAACTGAGGATTTGCAAATCCCACTCTCAAGGTATCCTGATAGACAATTTCTACAGTATATACTTTCAAACATACCAGATATCCATATAGGATCATATACCCATCCATGAGCGCATGCATAACTTGGCTCTGTGCCACTATGTCTAACAGCATGCAATCCAACACTTAAACATAAACTGAATACTACATCATCATATCAACATGCCTGAATACTCAAATGTACATGCATCCAACTGAAAGACATGTACAAAACATATACAGGCCATATACAAAATAAAGGATCAGACATCATGATCACCAAATGAATAGAACACTATACAACAGTACATGTTCTCCAAAAATAACATTTATAATAAATAGTAGCCTCCGGCTACCCAGAACTCCATATCCTCATATTAGTACCTCTAGCCACGGGTAGTGTCCTTGTCCCATGAGGGCTCTTCAATTAACTGTGTTCCTGAAATCATATCCCCAAACGGGGTTAGAGACGAATCTCTAGTAAGCTCCAGGTTTATAGAGAACTCTCCATACCCTAGGCTCACTTCCTGCATGACAGTCAGATACATAATATTCAAAACATCATATAAGCAAATATCATAGCTGAACATATCTCATATAACATATCATGTAATCCAATATCATAACTAAACCAAGCATATACACAAATCTTATCAGAGACGTACGCAGTCATTCCCAAGGGATGACCCCAAGCGGAAATCAACGCACGTAACAAATATCTTTTACAAAAATCATCAGAACGAAACATGTTATCTCAGAGACGTACGCAATCATTCCCAAGGGATGACCCCAAGCGGAAATCAACGTACGTAACAAATATCCTTTACAAAACATTACAATAATCAAATCAGAACAAAATAAATCATATTAGAGATGTACATAGTAATTCTCAAGGAATGACCCCAAACGGAAATCAACGTACGTGTTCCCAAGGGAGGACCCCAAGCGGAACCAGAACATATCAGAGGCATATGCAGTCATTCCCAAGGGAGGACCCAAAGCGGAAATCAACGCACGTGTTCCCAAGGCAGGACCCCAAGCGGAACCATAACATATCAGAGGCGTACACAGTTATTCCCAAGGGAGGACCCCAAGCGGAAATCCACGCACGTGTTCCCAAGGGAGGACGCCAAGCGGAACCAGAACATATCAGAGGCGTACACAGTCATTCCCAAGGGAGGACCCCAAGCGGAAATCAACGCACGTGTTCCAAAGAGAGGACCCCAAGCAGAACCAGAACATATCAGAGGCGTACACAGTCATTCCCAAGGGAGGACCCCAAGCGGAAATCAACGCACGTGTTCCAAAGAGAGGACCCCAAGCAGAACCAAAACATATCAGAGGCGTACACCGTCAATCTCAGGGGAACACAAGAAGACATCAGTGTACCATACAATCCATGGCCAAAGATCAATACAGAAATCATATCAGAACAAGTCATATAACAAATGTGTACACAGTCAATCCCATAGGAGGACCCCAAGTGGGAATCAATGTACGTGTTCCCAAGAGTGGACCCTAAGCGGAACTCAACAAAACATATCATATTAACACATATCAAAGTAAACACATCAGAACAAGACATATCATATAGCTCTATATGAATGCATCTATATCTTCTATATCATATATCTTATACATATCATACAACCTAACCACAGTCCGTACACTATGGCGGAACACAAAGTAGGAGCGAACCCCATAAACATAGAGCTTACCTCTTGGAGCTTTACAATTTGCTTACTTGAAGAACAAGCTACTTGTCTTGCTCCACGAGAATCCAAACGTTCACAATCCCTAGGCACACCTAGAGAAGGAATTCACACAAATATCAATAAAATGGTTCAAAGTCAAGTAGTTAACCAGACACACCATTTATTGATTTTATCTTTTACTTATCAAATATTTCTTAACTATTCATACATACGGTACTGTTCATCTCTACAGTACTATTCACGTATACGGTACTATTCATATACGTCACTATTCAAAAATACTGTATCTCAAATTTTTCTGAATACATTTTCCCCGTTAAAATCCTCATCTAAACACTTTTCTCATCATGAGCTAAGCCTCAATCAAGCTCTAACATGCTCAATCAAGCCAAACTTTAAAAATGAAAACCTAAATCAATCCTTCTCAAAACTCAAAGGAAACTAGGATTTCTTGACACAGACTTACCTAGAATCACCCAATGAGTGGATTCTCAACCTCAAACGAGATCAAAACGCCTTCTTGGACCTTCAATCAACAAAGGGGCGCCACTTTCCCTTCCATTTTTCTCTCAATACAAGGCTTTTTGATAGATTATGGATTAGGGGTTGTGTTTGTCTCTAATTCTAAGCAAATTTGGTTTTTACCTCACTTGATCTCATAAAGAAATGGAGAAGTTGGAATTTAAGCTCTCCAACAATGGCTACGGACGACGCACGGAGAAGAAGAGGAACGAGGCACGCGCGTGAGAAAAAAATAAGGAAATGAGGTTTCTGTTTGCAAACTTAAAGTATTGAAGTTAGTTTAATTGGGTAAAATCTTATCTATCTACGCACTTCCATTCACCACCAAACTTTGCACACTAGTCCATAATATTTTTATGGTAATATTTATAATTTTACTTTTTACTTTTGAGTAACTTTATTTACCAGCATTTTTATTCCTTAACTGTCATTTTAACTCCTTTTTCACCAAATGTGACTTTATTTCTTTTTCTTTATAATTATCCTTCCATATTAAATTCATAATAAAATGTGAGGGTCATTATAGCAGGGGGAGAAAATGAATCCTATGTTGATGAAGATGTCTTATAGAAAATTCTAGATGTGAGCATTTGATATTAAACTCAATGGATTGGGTCTAAAAAGGGATGCTATTAACAACTCATTTGTTATATATAAAACTATTTATATAGAAGAATAATTAATAAGTAAAAAAATTAAATGTATCGGTGATATACATTTTAGATGCGTGCAATATTCTAGTGCGCATTTGAGGATTTCTCACTATTACGGAAGACACAGAGAACAAGTAATTTTTTTTTTAGAATAAATAGAGATAATTCATATAATTGATAGAAGAGAGAAAAAAAAAAAAAGACAGCGAGAGAGAGAATTTAATGATAATTTTAGTTTTATTATATTTGAAAGAGTGAGGACAGAGATATGAACGTTCCTGCATAACTCTTTATTTTTATTTTAATTCTATAACATTTAAAATCATATTGTTGTATCAAATTTAAAAATAAAAAGATAATAAAGATAGGAAGATAAAAGTAATTGACAATATAAACTGTTCTTTTATCAAATGAAAATGCCTCGAAACAAAAAGTTCAAATAAAAAAATAAAAAAATATTAATATTACTACAATTTCGCTCCTTGATTCCTCTGTTTTCTCGTGGCGCTTTTTACCTAGCGCCATGGCTTCTCGAATCGCATCACATTCTTAGTCATAACAGCGAAAACAACACTGAAATTTCAAAACCTTAGCACGCCACCGCCAATGGCGACGAGACGATCCGCACAGCTCCTCAAGCAACTCTTCGCCTCGCGCTCCCGCCTCAACCCGACCCGATCGGTCACCTACATGCCCCGACCCGGCGACGGAACCCCCCGTGCGGTGACCCTGATCCCCGGCGACGGAATCGGGCCACTGGTGACGGGCGCCGTGGAGCAGGTGATGGAGGCGATGCACGCGCCGCTGTACTTCGAGAAGTACGATGTGCATGGGGACATGAAGGCGGTGCCTACGGAGGTGATCGAATCGATCAAGAAGAACAAGGTGTGCTTGAAGGGAGGTTTGGCCACACCCATGGGTGGTGGTGTGAGCTCGCTTAACATGCAGCTGAGGAAGGAGCTTGATCTCTACGCATCGCTCGTTAACTGCTTCAACCTCCCTGGCTTGCCCACGCGCCACGAAAACGTTGACATCGTCGTCATCAGGGAGAACACCGAGGGCGAGTACTCTGGCCTCGAACACGAGGTCGTTCCCGGCGTCGTCGAAAGCCTCAAGGTATCATGTGAATCCAAAGATGCTATTGATTATTGACGCGTAGAATTGTTAGAATTTGCGGAGTTTCTATTTCTGATGACTAGGTTTTGAATTGCTGAATTGAGTAGTCAATGATTTGTGAGTATTAAAATAATTGGAATACTGCTCAACTTTAAAAAAAAGAAAAGAATAGTTGGATTGCTGGTTTTCTTGTTATTATAGCTTTGTTTTGGCATTTGGCTCAATCTGTGATTTTTTGGTTGAATTACTTATATTTTAATTCGCATGCGTTTAGAAAATGTAAGATGAAATGGAGAGAACTGATATAGAGTTGCTTGTAATTTGTTGTGAAAATTCTTGATGTTTTATTTGTACTTTATGGATAGCAGATCACTCAAAATATACTTTGGATGTGAGGAATTTTCTGACATGTTTTGTGACGGGAATTCTTGGTGGATTTTTTTATTATTTATAAACTAATTAGGAGATTTGGGGGTTTTATTGAGATGATTTTGAGTGCCAGGTTTAGCACTGATGATTTCAAAAGCAATAATAGAGAATGCTATTTGGCTATGAGACAGGTTTGTTTAAAAAACAGGTGACCTTAGCTCCTTAGATAAAAACCCCATAATGCATCCATCCAATGGCGGTTTTTATGTATCACTTATGGCTTTAACGTTTCTACAGTGAATATAGATAAGTTATCTACATTTACTACCGTCGTTTTGGGTTGAAAAATTAAAAAGTTATAATGAGAAAGACTATTATAACCCTGAAATAAATTATTATTACAAAATATCTTGATTTTAGCCTTAAAACGACGTTGTTTTAAGCTCAATGTAGAATGTAGATAATTTATCTATATTAACTGCAGAAAAAACGAACCCCTTATTCATGTTTATGGCAGATAAATGTCTGATATAAATGATAACAAAAAGACAAAAAAGGAGTGCAGTAATTTAATTAATTGAGAACGACTGCTATTTTTTTGTATATTTGTTTTTGTTCTTTGTATGAGTTGTGTTCATGCTACCCCACTGTTGATGCTTTTTCAAGTTCATACCCTAAATATTGCTAATTGTGAACGTGATCCAGATATTTCCTGATTTCTAGGGGATTTTTCTTTAGATTTTTTCTTGTAATCTTCAAATGTATATCTCCCAAGAAGTTAGCACCTTGACGTTGTGAAGTATGGGCTTTTTGTTTGCAACTCATACTAATATTTTGCTAGGTAATAACAAAGTTCTGTTCAGAGCGCATTGCTAAATATGCTTTCGAGTATGCCTACCTAAATAACAGAAAGAAGGTGACTGCCGTGCACAAAGCAAATATTATGAAACTTGCAGATGGTTTATTCTTGGAATCTTGTCGAGAGGTTGCCACACAGTATCCTGGAATCAAGTATAATGAAATTATTGTAGATAACTGTTGCATGCAGCTTGTTGCAAAGCCTGAGCAGTTTGATGTTATGGTATGTAAATTTACAATTTGATCCTGATTCCAAATTATTTATCTGCTTTTGGTTAATATATTTATGGAGTTATTATGGGGGATCAGCACTTGTTTATTTTCAATATTTTTTTAATTTAGTGCTATCAGTTTATAGGTGAGACTAGCAACTCCTTAATTATATTGTGACCCATTGTGTTTTCATCTTTTCTTTTCATTTCTTTGGCGAATTAGTGCTATGGGGTTTGCCTTTTGTTTGATTGGTTAACCTGTGGAAGGGAAATAATGAGTAGCTGACAGAAAAGACTGAAAAATTATAACCAAAGTTAAGATGCATAATGAGTCTTTTTCCATTTTTGCTAGGCTTTTCACTGTTGGTTCAATCAAAAAGTTATTTTAAGGCAAATAAAAAAGCATTGGGAAAAAGTAATGAAACAGCATATCATTAGGACATTGCCTTGGAAACAGTGATAGCATCCTAAAATTGTTAACATAGTTTCCTAGTTGAATCTAACTATGTGAGGGGATTAGTATGATAAATTAGTTATCAATTTTTATGATTTTTGAAATTTGAAGAAGATGGATGTTTTATTTAATTGTTGGGTGAAATGTAATTGGAGGAGGGGTTTAAAACAGCCATTTTCTGCCAGCTGGAAATAAATATTTACTTACCTCCCTTATCCCTATGGGGAAGGATAAAGAATTAATTCGTAATAATCAATGAAGGATGACTCACTTGACTTCGAGGGGTATGTAGATGTACTGTATGGAATATTAAAAAAAAGGGTAGCCTAGTGCTATAAAGTTTCTGCTATGCGCAAGGTCCTGGGAAGGGTCCATAGTAGGCACTTAAATTAAATTTGTAAGAGACTGATCACATGAATTGAACCTGTGACCTCTGCGTCACATGGCAGCAACACCAATTGTTGTGCCAAGGTTCCTTTTTATTGTATGGAATATGGAAGGGACACATATTGGTGCATGTGCAAGTGAGAAACATTGCAGGTGGTTGCTGATTGACCTGATGTTTCTTTCTTGCAACTAACTAGTCTTTGTCCCATTCAATTTGCTTTTGCTTTTCAATCCAAAAGAAGTGTTTTGAAGTTCATGAGCACTATTTCCACTTGCTAGGTAACCCCCAATCTGTATGGAAATCTTGTTGCAAATACAGCAGCAGGTATTGCTGGAGGCACTGGTGTCATGCCGGGAGGTATGGTTATTAGTTACTAATCTATTGAAACTCTATAGCGCTCATTTGATTATGTTAAATATTGTCTTACTTCCACATTGTCTTTGCCGTTGCGAAATGTGCGTGTGTGACTAATGTTCTGAACTGTCGAGTCTAGGTTCAGAGCTTAATTTTTGTTTCTGGGAAACATTTTTATGCGTTGAAAACACCGCAAATAAAAGTGTCTAATTAACATAGTGATTGTACATTCACTGAAAAGAAAAAATTAGAGGTTGTATAAAATTCAAACTGGAAGATCATTTGTATACTTCAACATCAGGTTGCAGTATTGGAGGCAAGAGCAACCACTATGGGATAAGTGAGTTGTCAAATTGCGTTTCCCTGTCCCCCCATTTCTTTGGTGGGACCTGGTGGCGAGGGAGGGAGGGTGGAATTTATGGAAGGGCGTCTGGAATTCTGGATAAAAGTGATTATGGAGAGCAATCATACTTTATCCTTAAGTGAGCTTGAATATTTCAAACCCTGGATGCCATGCTTTTGCAGGTAATGTTGGGGCTGACCACGCTGTGTTTGAACAAGGTGCTTCAGCAGGAAATGTTGGTAATGAAAAAGTAGTGGAACAACAGAAAGCCAACCCAGTTGCACTCCTCCTTTCGTCGGCCATGATGCTTAGACATCTCCAGTTTCCTGCATTTGCTGACCGATTGGAAACTGCTGTGGAACAAGTCATTCTAGAGGGGAAACACCGGACAAAGGACCTTGGAGGGACAAGTACCACCCAAGAGGTTGTTGATGCAGTAATAGATGCTTTAGATTGATGAATTTATTTGCTGATCTCCCAAGTGAAGTCAGCCCGTATATTCTTTGCTAACTGATTTTAGCAACAGAGTTTTTGCACCTTTTAAATGTGAAATTGCCAATTTTTGGTCCTGAATAATGTTTATTCAGCACATAAAATGAGAAAATGATGTAATAAAAAATTATTTACAGAGTATGGTAACTGTTGCCTGTTTACCACTCCGTTTTAAGCACTGTAATTTTATATATGCTCTTAATTCTTAAAGCTATTATTGTTTAGCATAAATTACATATCATATTTTGTTGAAATTTCAGCAAACTTATCCATGAGTATTTCTTTTTTTAAAAAAATATTATTAATTGTTAAATGCTTTATATATATATATATATATATATATATATATATATATATTATGATAAACATATTTTAAAGATAAATAATTTTATTTGTTTTTCTTCACAAAATTTAGTTTTTTTAACAAAATTAAAAGAGATATAAATTGGAAAATATTATAAAAAATATTATTTATACATGTATTTATTCCATTTTTATAAATAAAGTGTATTATATATTATTAATTGTTATTGTGCCAAAATCAAGCCTAAACATAAACTTCCTCCTCTGCTCAGCTACTTCTGCTCCTTCCTTTATGCCCTTGTTATAGAGACATACTTCACACGAAATAGATTCAATCATCTACCTTCACAACAGTTCAACTACCGTATCTAATATGTGTGAAATACTAGATTCAAGTCACCTGTCCAAATCATGTAATCAGAAATGTATAGTACTGAACTTAAAGATTTTGTATTAGTACTTCTCTTTCTTTTTTTTTCTTTTTTTTGAAAACAAGTACTTATCTTTCTTTTTTGTAATGAAAAGGGAAATGAGCAGAGTCTAAACTTATTTAGGCATGTAGGGAACAGAATCAATACAATTCTGAATCGGGCATGGATGAACTGTGAGGATTGACCAGTGATGATTCCGCACTTCGCTACTTTTTTTTTTGGTGAGTGGATTGTTCTGTACCATCTGCTTGCTGATTGAATCTCCACCGCTTACTCTAATATGTGATGTGTGAAGCATGACCGTTGGATCTCCTTTGCTGGATGCAACTGATGTGTTGTATGAAACATGATCGTTGGGTCTCCTTTTCTTGCCCACATACTGTGATCTATTTGCAATCTCATCCTACAGCAACTTCTACAAGTCATTAAGCAATCTGTATTGAATCGAATCCTTAACCCTGGATTCTAAAAAAAAACTCCAGATAATTGTGTTTGTGAAATTTTGTTAACCATGAGCTGAAAGTTCTTAGGTGTCTTTTTGTTTTATGTTATTTTTTTTAAGGCTTTAATGTTTTTTTAAAAAAGTGAAAATAATGAAATTTTATTTTTATCATCTCCTTCACAAAGAAACAATGTCAAAAAAAAAAAAAAAACCAAATACAAAATACCGCCTCAAATTCCTCTGTCCTGTGTATGTACATAACATAACAGTAGATACTTAGTTCGAATTAGATTTTTTTTTATTTTTGTGTGTGTTAATTGGCTTGTTTATGTCTACTCTCTTATTTAGCATGCTTCATGGTTTTTCCTAATATTAGCTTCCATCAGAATAATTACTTAAAACTAAATTCTTGGTAAGATCATCCTTTCATTTTATTATTATTATTATATTTTTTTTTGGTACACTTCATTTTATTATTTTTTAGGTTACACCATAATGAGAAGAAAAAAAAGCCCAGCTGGATCAGAAAAGCCCAATAGATAAAAGAATCGGTCATATCAGGCTATCCTGATATAACTTATTATGAAAATAAAGACATTGTTGACAAGAAGCACAAAGCAATTTGAGATTCTGGGCATAGCTGATGGCCTACCAAAACATTATTGGAATACAAAGATATTTTCTCCATGATTCAAAATCTGCATTGCTTTCTTGGGTGTGGAATATGGGTTAGTCAGTCAGCAATATCCCAATAACCAAAAAGATAAAGGGGGTGGGCTATGAGAAAATAAATTCAAATTGCTCAAACATTGGGTTCAAGAAAAGGGCCATTACTCTTTTTTTTTTGGTTGCTTTTGCATTGACAATGGTGTTTATGCTATGCTATTTATAAGAAGATGGCAACATTAAATAATAAATAGTTTTGTAAACAACTAACAAGAAAGGATAGTAAGAGCTTTATGTTACATTCACTTCTATCTTTAGATTATCAGAACACTACTTGATCTATATTATATAGCAAAAACAAAGGATAAAATTCTTCCATTTTACAGATCCTATTCATATTTCTGCGATGTCCAATTTGGGCCACCATCTTCAGTAGCCAAGATTGTACCATTGTTTTGTCTTTGCACTTCTGTAATGCGGTTATTCCAAAACTACAAGCATTGTGCACAATAAAAACAATGTTTAAGCATTTAATAGAAAATAAGCAGAATAGAATAAATAAAAGAATCAGCTTCCTTTTATCAACCTACCTTAAATTTGTGGATGTCTGGTTGCAAGAACCACCATGGACCATTTTTTGATAATAATCTGAAAAACCAAGCCAAAAGTTATATATTGGGACTAAACACTAGTGCAATAGTTCATTATTTATTAACTTCACAATTACCAGCTACTGACAAATACATTTAGATGGCATTGTTGACACTCACCTTATAATTCCAGCCACTGTCCGAAGGCCCATGAAAAGAGTTAAACCATACCAAATTCCTTGTAGACCAATAATGGGAGGAGCAAAAAGCAAAAATGTTGAAGAGATTGCACCAACCAGCATCTGTTTTCCATTTATACAAATATCAGGATATACCAAATCAACTAATCTGGGTTTAATGTCAAAATGTTATAAACTTTGCCACTGACCATAGAACAAGCAGCATATGAGAAGTCTGAAATTCCATAATGTAGGCCATCAAAGATATAAGCCAAAGCACTGATAGGCTGGCTTGCACTGACAAACTGTGGAAGTTTTATATAAGGCCTTGTAAGCAGTGTAATATATATATATAGGGGAGTTTAACAATGGTTTCAAGTATTCTTACCAGTAGGCCAGATTTGACAATGGCTAGGACCTCAGTGTCCGTGGTGAAAAGAGTTGCTAGAGAACCAAAAGAGGCACTCAATATGATAGCTAACATAGCTCCAGTGAATAGCCCTGTCTGGGAAACATATGTGCCAATTAGAGTAGAGGCAAGTGACAGAATTTAATATAGCAAGCAGGACGGTCACCTTTAAAGCGAAGTAAGTTACTTCTTTCACAGTATTGTAGTCACCCTTCGCCAAGAAACTTGCAACAAGAGCCTGATAAGTAATAAAGCTCCAATGATCAATAAATGAAGGCTGTAGAAGTACTGGCAATATGCATCTAGGAGGAGCTTGGGAAACACACACTTGACCAAATAAAGGCTGGGAACACTATGAAGGCAGGTACTTAATCACTAATGTAATATATTTTCCTCATATAAAATTATTGAAGTAGGGGTGTTATAATCATAAAAAGTGAACTACATATAACTTTGGGCAAATCTCAGTGCACCAAGCTCCTCAACTTTAATAGGGTAGGGGCGAGGGTTCATTGTACGCAACATTATCTTTACATTTTTGCGAAAAAGCTGTTTCCATACTTAAACTTGTGACCTTCCAAGCCATAAAGGATCAGCCTTAGCACTGCTCCGAGGCTCACCTTCTAAACTACGTAGTAACTGTATGGGGAAAAAATGATGTCCAACTACTAACTAATTTACCTGACCAGCTGCTCCCTGTGCATCTGCAAGGAGGGATACAGACAACCATACTTGTAAGCATATCTGATGTGCTGCTGTGGCTAAGGGTCCAAGACGAGCAGCCATTGATGTGCTCAAAGTAATGGTCATCACAGCTGCTAAAGTTCTCCCAAGAAGGAATCCACCTGTGCAGAAAATTCGAATTGATAAAATATTTTAGTCTAAGATGCTCAAAGATACCAAGACTACAAAGAAAAAAATGGATATAGTTACTAAAAATAATGCTTGGTGATTGATACACATAAGCATCGAGCACATCAGTGGCAGAATCAAGTTTGGATGTACTAAACACAAGGTAGGTGATGTGTGTGTATGTGCATGTGGGTAGCTAGGAAGTAATTATTCTTGGTTATTAACTCAGCAGTTACATAGTAACTGACACTGACTAGGCAAAGGGATATGCTGCTCATATAAGGGTATCTACTAAAGCAACACTATCATGATGTCCACCAATGGCCTTACAAGTGTAGTGTAACAACTAAATTCATGCCAAGTCAGAAGGAGCAGATACTCACCAGATCTTAAGTATCCACCAAAGCGTAGACTTTTAATATTGGGAATTGACAGTATAGTCTTCTTATGGAGACTCCAGATCATTAAAATTGTGACAATGTACCTTAAATATTTAGACACAGTTTATTAACATCCATTGCGATGTTGGAAACATGTAATAGGAAGAAGAGACGTGTGGAGAGCTCATACTGAGACATAACAGTGGATAGGGCAGCACCAATCACACCCAAGCGAAAAGTATGTATGAGTATAGGAAATAAGAACACTGCTGCCAAATTGCCAAAACCTGCAGAACATTAATTTACTTCAGCATTAATCCAATGTGATGTGAATATAGCATTTACATTATCAAACTTTACTTAATGATAGTGTCAGAAAGTTAAATGAAACACTTGCCTAAGCATAGTACAGGAGTCCTAGTATCCTTAAACCCCCGGAATATTCCTTGGACAGCCAGAGAAACAACAACTGCTGGAGCACCAATGGCTCTGAGTGATAAAAACTGTTCTGCTGGAATGCGCATAGGTGAGGCCTATGCAAGAAAATGTTCTTAAAAAACCATATACCAAGTAATGGAAATGAATTAAACATGAAACAATAAAGGTAAGAAAAATCATTGTACTTAATTTATGAATTTAGAGGTTGTGAAAAAGGGGTACTATGTCAGATTCATTGCTTTAATGTCAACATTGGCTCACTAGGATAGAAACAATAGTATGTTGGCAATGTAGATTTTAACTCACTGTTGATACTCCCACCACGTTGAGAAAGAGGCCAGACCCAAAGTACATAGCCAAAGCCTCAAGTATACCAATTCCTGTTGCTAATATTAAGGCAGTAGAAACTGAAGGCAGCAACTTTCTCTCAGCAGTATCATGAGGACTGTCATATATTTCAGTCACATTTCTTTTACCTGTACAGGAATAATATTAGAATTGGAGAGCACTCTCATATCATATGAAGGATTCCACATGATTTGATT